TTTTTATTCTCTGATACACGGCAAACTGAAGATTGGTCATTCAGTCTTCTGATATTGGTTCTCATCCTGTCGTACCCTTCGAATTGGCGATAGCTCCTGGTCCATGTCAGCTCATTATATATGGATACATTGCACAGATCTATACATTTTGCCCAGGGGCAAGGGGTAGGAAGCCGGAATTGAAGGCAACAAGTCTCAATTGCCTATCCATGACCTAAAAAAAACCTCTCTATTTCTTCTTTGAGAATCTAGGTGGTACCTTGTTTTAACTGTTAATTTTATTTAATGACTTTTGACCTGCTCCATACTCTTAATAATTCACTTTCTGTTGTACTTACCCCAGTTGAAAATCTTAATTTCCCATTTCCTAGTATAAAGAAATGTCCTAGTTTGGTGAGAAACCCAAACAATTGCTTAGTCTGAACAAAGAGACCTTGGAGCGTTGGATTCATAGTTCCGTGAAAATGGAGTCGCAGGTAGATAGGATAGTGAAGGAAGTGTTTGGTATGCTTGCCTTTACTGTAGTGGTCAGTGCATCAAGTGCAGCAGTTGGGAGGTCATGTTGTGGCTGTACAGGACATTGGTTAGGCCACTTTTGGAATACCGTGTACAGTCTGGTCTTCCTGTATAGGAAGGAAGGATGTTGTGAAACTTGAAAGGGTTCAGAAAAGATTTACAAGGATGCTGCCAGGGCTAGAGGGTTTGAGCTATAGGGAGATGCTGAATAGGCCGGGGCTATTTTCCCTGGAGCGTTGGAGGCTGAGGGGTGACCTTAGAGAGGTTTATAAAATCATGAAGGGCATGGATAGGGTAAATGGACAAGGTCTTTTCCCCAGGGTGGAGGGTGTCTAAAACTAGAGGGCATGGGTTTAAGATGAGAGGGGAAAGATTTAAAAGGAACCTCAGGGGCAACCTTTTCACACAGAGGGTGGTGCGTGTATGGAATGAGCTGCCAGAGGAAGTGGTGGAGGCTAGTAGAATTACATTTAAAAGGCATCTGGATGGGTCTATGAATAGGAAGGGTTTAGTAGAATATGGGCCAAATGCTGGCAAATGGGACTAGATTTATTTAGGATATCTGGTCAGCATGAATGAGTTTGTTTCCATGCTGTACTTCTCTATGACTCTAGATGCTTTCCTATGATGTAAAACTTTCTTTCGAATGTGTACTCTCCCCTGCTCTGATTCCCATCTCCACTTTTAACTGTATGCCTTTGTCATCTTCCTCCCTTAGGACTTCCGTTTCCCTCTCTGAATCCCCGCTGTTACTGTTAACTCTGGACCAAGAATAAATCTTCTGTTAAGCAGGGTTTGTGAAGGTTCAAAAGAATAATTGTTGTAGAGGACTCTCCTGTCAGGGGCACAGACAGGAGATTCTGTGCCTGTGAGCGAGAAGTCAGGATAGTATGTTGCCTCCCTGGTGCCAGGATGAAGGATGTCTCAAAGAGGTTGCAGCATATTGTCAAAACGGGAGAGTGAAAAGCTGGAAGTTGTTGTACATATTGGTAAGAACAACATAGTAAAGGACAAGTTTGAGGCTTTGCAGAGTGAATACAGCAAGTTAGGTAGTGGTCAAAAAGCAGAACCTCAAAATGAGTAATCTCTGGATTACTCCCGGTGCCACGTGCTAATCAAAGTAGGAATAGGAAAATACGGCAGATAAATCAGTGACTGAGGTCTGCTGCTAGGGGCAGATATTTGACATAAGTAGTAGTGAGAACAGAGAGACAAATTATAATGGTTCTGAATTAAAAGACAGCAAGTCAGTTAGAAAAATCAGGCAAGAGCAAGTCAGAAAACGAGGTAACTCTGAAGAATTAAACTGCATTTATTTCAGTGCAAGGTGTCTGACAGGTAAGGCAGATGAACTCAGGGTATGGATGGGAACATGGGATTGAGACATCATTGCTATTACTGAAATATGGCTGATGGAGGGACAGGAGTGGCATCTCAATTATCGAGGGTTTTGATAGGAAAGCAGGAAAGAGAGGAGGGGGAGTGGCATTTTTGATTAAGGAACACATTACTGCTGTACTTCAAGAGAATATTCTTGGGGATTCATCCAGTGAAGCTACATGAATGGAACTAAGAAATAAGAAGGGGATGATCGCCTTGATGGGATTGTACTATAGGCCTCTCAAAAGTCAGTGAGAAACTGAAGAGCAAATATGTAAAGAGATCACAGATATATCTAAGAATAATAGGGTTGTGATTGTAGGGGATTTTAGCTTCCTGAACACAGATTAGGACTACCCTGGCATTAAGGGCTTGGATGGTGAAGAATTTGTTAAATGTGTTCAAGAAAACTTTCTTTAACAATATGGAGGATGTACCAACTAGAGAAGGAGCGAAACTTGACCTTCTCTTGGGAAATAAGGGAGGGCAAGTGACTGAAGTGTTAGCAGGAGAGCACTTTGGGACCAGCGATCATAATTCTTAGTTTTAAAATAGTTATGGAAAGGGATTGGCCTTGTATAAAAGTTAAAGTTCTTATTGGGTGGCACGGTACCTCTGTGGTTAACATTGTTGCTTCACAGTCCCAGGGACCTAGGTTTGATTTCAAACATGGGCAATTGTCTGTGTCGAGTTTGCACATTCTCCCCCGTGTCCGTGTGAGTTTCCTTCGTGTACTCTGGTTTCCTTTTACAATCCACAGATTTGCAGGTTAGGTGGATTGGTCATGCTAAATTGCCTATAGTTTCTAGAGAAGTGCACAGTTGCAGAGATGGGGTGGGTCTGGGTAGGATGCTCTTCAGAGGGTTGGTGTGTACTCGATGGGCTGAAGGCCCACTTCCACACTGTAGGGATTCTATGAATTAAGAAATGATCTGGAAAAATACTATTAGGGCAGCACGGTGGCTCAGTGGTTTGCACTGCTGCCTCACAGCACCAGGGACTCAGGTTCGATCCCACCCTTGGGCGATTGTCTGTATGGAGTTTGCATGTTTTCCCCGTATCTGGGTGGGTTTCCACCGGATGCTCTGGTTTCTTCCCACAGTCCAAAGATGTGCAGGCTAGATGGACTGGCCATTCTAAAGTGCCCATAGCGTTCAGGGGTGTAGGTGGGTTAACCATGGGACATGCAGGATTACAGGGATAGGGTGGGGGATGGGTCTGCGCGGGATGCTCCTCGGAGGGTCGGTGAGGACTCATTAGGCCGAATGGCCTGTTTCTACACTGTATGGATTTTATGGAATTCTATGGAATTGGACAAAGGCAAATTTTGATGGTATAAGACAAAAACTTTCAAATGTTGATTGGGGTAGTCTGTTCACAAGTCAAGGGATGACTGGCAAATGGGAGGCCTTCAAAAGTAAGATAACGAGAGTTCACAGGCATTATGTTCCTGTTTGAGTGAAGGGTAAGGCTGGTAAGAGTATGGAAAAATGGATGAATAAAGATATTGAGGCTATGGTCAAAAATAAAAAGGAGATAAATGTTAGGTTTCAACTGGACCAATGGTTTTTCTGCCAGACTGCTAGGATTTCAGTAACACAATATCTCCTTGTGACACTAATGTACAGGATTCTACCATCTAGTCAAGATAAATTAGGTGCTATTTCAGAATCCTTGTATACCTATTTCACATCTATTGCCTCCTGTGGACAAATGCATTCTCGCTTGTATATGATATTATCACAAGGACCGAACAATTAATTCTGACCATTACACATGGCGACCAACATATTCACCTATTGAGCAGGGTATTGTACACAGTAAGGAGGTCTGTTTCCAAGCTATACCCATTCTTCAAGCAAGCTGAAATCTACATAGATTAAGTATGGATGTGAAGGACAAAGGCCAAGCCAACACAAGTCAAAGATGCTAAAACTATGCCCGAGTGTCTCTTGCTTTCATTGTTGATGCTACTGGTATTGCCACATAAAAAGTTAACAGTAAAATATTCCTACCAGACCATAGGGTTATTCTCTCATTAGGGATAGGCAACTGGTGGAAGATTAACCCGAGAGTCACTATGCCTCAGACAAGGAGTCGGGTTGAGCAGAGTCCTTTCTGGGAACTTCAGTTGATGTGGGAAATAAACTCATGCTATTGACATCAATCTGTATTGCAATCCAGCTGTCCAACTGACTGACCATCCCCGCCTCCTTCCCCATGCCTTATAAACCATATATGTTGCACTTCTTTTGGCATTTTCTCCACTATTTCTTCAAAGAATTTTATTAGATGCATTAAGCACAAGCAGTTACTTTCTAAATCTAGCCTGATCGGTATTTTTTAACTCAGTTCTCCTCACACTTAGTATTTTCATTCTATGTCAGAAATTCTCACACTTTACCATAGAAGCAAAACTAACTAATCCAAAATTTCTTCTTTATCAAATTTCCTTGTCTTGCCACTCTTTGGGCTTCTGTTTAGCACAGGAAAAGAAAAAATAGACAACTCCTGAAAAACTCTCAGAACATGTTTAGCTTGCTGAATTGAAGCATTTTAACATTTTCCGAAACAATTGTTTACAATTATTGATATTATCATTCAAGTCACTATTTGGTCAAACACAAAGTGCTTGTATTTTTGTACAAAGTAGTTAGAAAGAGGATTCAGGCTTTCTCAAAATGATGTTGCAAAATTCAAAGACATCTATGAGAAAAGCAAAATGACTCAAACAAAAACATTGTCCAAGTAACTAGTATGGCAGCAGCACATACTTCAAGATCAATATGCCAACTAGAAAGATACAGATTGCAGGGTCACCTTCACAATTTGCAGATTTTCTAAAGTAAGGACTGTTCTTGCTCAGAGTAACCAAGCAAATACCATGTTTCACCCACAACTAAAGCAACAGGTGGGAACAGTTAATCACAAACCTCCAGCAGTAACCAAAGGACAGTATTATGAACCTTTGTAATATTCATTCATTCCAGCCTCTCAAACTTACAACACTCTTAAAAAGCATCATCATGACAAGAAAGCATTTGATTTCACAGTTCAGAAATGTGTAGAAAACTAAATTAACATGACCACTGATTTTGTTCCAGAACTTGGCTGGGCTTGAATTCCTCTACCTAGGATTCAATCGGCTGGACAAAGTACCTGCCAACCTGCCTGACACTATCCGTGTACTTCATTTACAGGTCAGTTGTAAGATAAATAATTAAAAGTGCAACTATCCCTATTTTGTGAACCCCAAATCCAAATGTGAAACAAATGAAAGAAAAATGAAAGAATAATTGGAATTCTAGCTATAGCTTCCATATTCCTTTCATTTCCATATAATCTACCAGCTTATTTTCTTTTCCTCACTGTTTATTTTGTTATCGCCAACGGACTGATTTTGTTTGCTCTAAACAGAAATAGGCTATATAGATTTTGAAGGTATATGGCAGCTAGTGGCTGCATGGAGACAATTTAGAGGACACAGTATGAGTAAATGCGCAATATTAATTTGGATTAAACTGTTCTATAATTAAGCAATTATTTCCAGCGATAAATACAAATCACTATCACATTCCAAGGAGAAAATGACAGGCTCACAATCTATAACCATATTCATCAAATATAACTGCATATTATTTTATGCAAATTATAGTTTATTTACATTTCATACTGAGTGTGAGCTACTAGAGTCAGGAGAAAATTTCATTCTTTGGAAATGAAATACTGAAAACCTTGTCAGTCCTTTCCACAAACAGCATTTTGTCATTGCTCAAATTGTTTGCAGTGTCAATGGGCTTTCCATATAATTAATTAATTACCTGGCAGTTTGACTCATTGTATTAAATGGATCAGTCTCATTTGAACTTTTCCACTGTATTTTCATTTGCACTTCTCAGTTTGCCAATGGATAGCAAAAAAGAGACTGTTGTGTGAGTCACTTGCACAGTAAAATTATATCTATATATAAATTAAATTGAAGCTACATGTATAAATTCTATATGTCTAAACTGTAAATTATATGAAACAATGTGTATGCATATTAAAAATACTTTATAAACAAACAGATATAGAACTGTTTTAAACTAAGTAATTCTTAAATTAGGCAATTGGATAAAGTTGATCAATTACACCTTCAAAAGGAAGAAACTGTAAATATGCATCTCTATGCAGAAAAACACTCAAATGTATAATCGATATAGCAAAACACACGTTAAAATGACAATTTAGTATAAATAGGCAAATTTAATTATTTACAGTGGTTGTCAGGACAGCGGAATACTGAACAAACCAAGCAATGGGCCATGCAACAGTGCTAACATTTGGATAAGTTTGATTTGGACCTCCAATCAAGGAGTTGAAGGGCATAAAGCTAATAAAAAATAACAGCCTACTGTAAGGGAGGAAGCTCCAGACTGAGAGAAAGAGTTACAACAAAATCATACCGGAGGAAAATATCAATGATTGACTAGAACAGTCTTGTATATGGAGACTAATGCTGAAGACTGGGTTTAAGTTTGACAGGGCCAGACACAGGAGTCACTCTCAAGTTTTGATAGCGTTAACAGATACAACTCTATGTTTGCTTGTGGTCTGGACTACAGCCAGGCTCCACTGTCATAAAAGGTACAGGATGAGGCAAAAGGTGGTCAAAACTGGGCTGCAGGAACAAGTCCCGTAGCAAGAGTGTTAAATCAGATTAGAGTCAGGAAAAGTGATGGTTGCCTAAAGAATCTGACCAGGTAGTGTCAGATTAAACATACGAACATTGGCCGGGCATAGGATACTATTAAATGGCTTGAAAGAATAATGAGTGAAAATGCGAGAAGTCTGAAATTATTCAAAGGTAAGACATTCATAATTTTGAATTTATATTGAAATGTATTCAGAACGTCTGCAATTCTAATCCACACAAAACCATGCCAAAGTATTTAGTTCTTCACTTTTTTTTCGGTTGGAGGGAGAGGAGTAGGAAAAGAATTGGGTATTGAGATCAACGGTCTATCTTTGCACCATGCTCAACTTGAATATTATGATTTTAATTAATGGCAAAATGTCTGACAGAGAACAATACAGCTTTGGCATATGTAAAGGATCAAGTAATTAATACAATTGCAGAATACCAAATCACCTCAAATAATATTTATTTAACATTTCTTGTAACCCTTTTCCACCTTCCAGCATAATAATATATCTACAATTACGGATAATACGTTTTGCAAGCCCCAAGATTCCAGTTATATCCGTGAACGTCTGACTGAGATTCGGCTCGAAGAAAATCCTATCAATTTGGCAGAATACCCAAACAGTTACATCTGTTTGCGAAGACTGCCCATTGGAAAACCATATTTTGGGAGAGTATACTAATACAAAAATAGTTAAGCATCAATCAGAAACAGTTAAGTGGTTACGACAGAATATTGCATTCTAATGCGATTTCTCGTTTATTATTATATCATCATACTCATGAGCTTTATTATGTTACTTGTGCCATATCAACACTTTTATATTTAACAACATATTGCTTTATTTCAACAGAGCATTATCCCAAAGAAATAGCATTAATTTTATTTCATGCCAAAGAAATTCGACTAATTTTTTGCAAAAACAGATTCTGACATTTTACACTAAGTTGACTAAATTGTCACCTATGTTTATTTTCGTATAATTAAAGTTGCACATATTACTGTTTGACTTTCAATGTAATACTCTGTAATATATTGTTGAACTACATCTGACTCATTTGCGACAGCATGTAGTTTTATATACTGTGCTTCTCCTTAACATGATCATTTCACAGTAATGCAACAAAACTAAAAACATGAGCTTTTCTTACATAAGGCCATTTCAAAAAACAGCTTCACAGAAGTGTGATTGTAATCCAATTATTTTAATGGAGTTAATTTAAATAGAACATCAGAAACCAATCATGCAGCTCAGAAGATGGAATTCTACTAAATCATAGTTACAACCCTTATGACCTACCATTCATTTATCACCTTGCTAACAAACTTACATCCATTCTCATTCCATGGCCTACATTATGTTAACTTTATACATTATGAATGTTTCGTAACAGACGGGAATTACAAACATGTCAATATATAAGTTGAGCTAAAATCATTCATTTTAATTCTGCACTAATATTCAAAATATAGAGTAAAATTCTCACTGCAGTTTGGAGCCAGCACATATTCTGATACTGTTCCTTCAGAAAATAAAGGAATAAAATTGAAATAAAACAGTTTCATAACTAACTTCCCAATAATTCCACAAAAGAAGTATGCACTGGGATTATGCTGAGATCGCTTCTCTACTTTCAAGTTTTTAATGCTTCACAGATTGTAGCATCTTAAAATCATTTATTTATTTATTTAGCACATTTAACATGAAATGTTCCAGCAGTATTTTAAAACATACATGACACTGAACCACGTAAGGATACATTAGATTAAATTACAAAAAAGTTTGGTCAAAAAGGTAGGTCTAAGGAATGTCTTAAAAAGAACAAAGTGAGGTAGAGGGGCAGTGGAACTGTATTCCACAACTTCTTAACCAACCAGAGATGACAATGGTGAAACAATTAAAATCAGACGTGCGCTGATATCTTGATGCGATGCTGTCTAAAGGCAATTACAGATAGTGAGGAGCACAGAGATAGAGTGATTTGAAAACAAGGATGGAAGGTGCAGAGCCAGATAGTCTGACAACGTGCTCCTAACAGTATCAGGACATTATACATACCTCTATTGTGTGCCTGTGCACATCTAAAATTATATGAATCTTCTAAATCAACGTGCTACGGGAGAAAGAATTTCCAACTGATCATAGAATCATGCAGTAATGAAAAGATCCTTCAGCCCATCAAGTCTGTACCACCTAAGCTACATAAATCTACACTAGAACCAGCTTCCAGCACTAGGCCTTGAATATTATGGTAATTTATAAATGTACTGTTCTTTTCCAAACACTCTATTTAATCTTAAGCCATAAGTAAAAGTGCTTAAACTTCTGAACAAAGCATTTTTTAAAAGATACAATTTTACCAGTGGGAAAAATAACACAATGCTTTATCCTACCTTGAAATGTCTGAAGGTGACTTGGCGGAGCTCATACCATTTTGCAAAGGTTGAAAGAGTTCTGAAAAGTAGGAGGAGGCTCTTCTTTTCTTCTGCTCTAGAAAGATATCAGACAACACTAAAACTATTTTGAACAGAAGTTGGCTCCATGCTAATATCCATTGCCCATTTAACAAGTTGCTGGAATGTAAGTTCTGATTTCACACACATTTTAAACTCTGCAGAATTGGAAGCTGTGGTGTAGTTATTATTATCAAAACAGCTTGCATTTAGAAAAAATCCTTACGTGCTTCAGTAAATGAATTCAAAATCAAAAAAGCAGTGAAGCAGTCAAATGAACAAGGAACAAAGGACAGTACAGTACAAGAACAGGCCCTTCGGCCAACCAAAACTGCACCAACACACTAAACTAAAACTTTCTGCCTTTATGCGATCCGTATCCCTCTATTCCCTGCCTATTCATGTCTGTCATGAAGCCTCTTAATGTTGCAATTGTAACCACCTCCACTACCTCCCTTGGTAGCACATTCACAGCACTTAGCACCCTCTGCGTAAAAAACCTGCCCATTACATCTCCTATAAACTTACTCAGAGATAGTGAGAACTGCTAATGCTGGAGTCAGAGATAACACAGTGTGGAGCTGGAGGATCACAGCAGGCCGGGCAGCATCAGAGGAGCAGGAAAGTTGACGTTTCGGGTCGGGACCCTCCTCTCTATTTATTTCAGACACCTTTCCCTGCAACCACAGGAAGTGCTATACTTGCCCCTACACCTCCCTCCAAGGAACCAAAAAAACCTTACACATCAGACAGAGGTTTACCTGCACATCTGCCACTGTGGTCTGTTGCATCCGCCGCTCCCGATGTGGCCTCCTCTACATCGGTGAGACCAAGCGGAGGCTCGGAGACCGCTTTGCAGAGTACCTGCGCTCTGTTCGCAACAAACGACAACACCTTCCAATCACGAACCATTTCAACTCCCCCTCCCACTCCCTGGGCGACATTGTCCATCCTGGGCCTCCTCCAGTGTCACAATGACGCCACCTGGAAACTGGAGGAGCAGCACCTCATATTCCGCTTTGGGAGCCTGCAACCCAATGGTCTCAATGTGGACTTTACCAGTTTCAAAATCTCCCCACCCCCAGCCTCATCCCATGACCAACCCTCCCTCTCATCCCTGCCTCCTTGACCTGCCACAACCTGTCCATCTTCTCCCACCTATCCACTCCTCCTACCACACTGACCAATCCTCACCACTACCTACCTGCACTCACATATCACCATCCCACCTACCTTCCCCAGCCCCATCCCTCCTCTTTCTATTTATTTCAGAGCTCCCTTCCCCCTCCCACATTTCTGAAGAAGGCTCCTGATCCAAAACATCAACTTTCCTGCTCCTTTGATGCTGCCTGGTCTGCTGTGCTCCTCCTGCTCCACACTGTGTTACCTCCTTTAAGCTTACCTTGTTTCACCTTAAACCTACATCTCCTTGCAATTGACATTTCTACCCTGGGAAAAAGACTTCAACTATCCATCCTGCCCATGTGTCTCATAATTTTGTAAATTTCTATCAGGTCATCCCTCATCCTTTGATGTTCAAATGAAAACAAACCAAGTTTGTCCAATCTCTTCTCACAGATAATACTCTCCAAACCAGGCAACATCCTGATAAACCATTTCTCTACCATACCCAAAGCCTCCAATCCATCTGGTAGTGTGGTGACCAGATCTGTACACAAAATTTCAAATATGGCCTGACTAAAGTTCTATGCAACTTGCCAATTTTTATAACCTTTGCCCTTACTGTTGAAGGCAACTATGCCATATGCTTTCGTGATCACCTTATCCACTTATGTTGCCAGTTTCAGGGAACTGTGAAGTTAGAAGCCTAGATCCCTTTGTATGTTGATGATACTTAGGGTTTACTGCATACTTCTCTCCTGCATCAGATCTCACAAGATGCATTACCTCACATTTGTCCAGATTAAGTTCCATCTGTCATTTCTCTGCCCATGTCCCCAACCTGTTTCCAGAGCGACCCACAACCACGCGCCCCCCCCACCACACACTATCCCTATAACCCTGCATTTCCCATGGCTAATCCATGTAACCTACACATCCCTGGACTTTGATCTCACCTCGCACACATCCTGTGCAATGTAATTTGTATGCTTCTGTCTAAGTCTGTTTGATATGTACATCCTTGCTTAGAATGATCTGCCTGTATTGCTCGTAAACAAAATTTTTCACTGTACTTTGGTACATGTGAAAATAAATCAAACACTGTGAATAATTTAGTATGGTCAATCCGCCTGATCTGCACATCTTTGGACTGTGGGAGGAAACCAGAGCACCCGGAGAAACCCATGCAAACATGGGGAGACTGTGCAAACTCCAGACTCACCCAAGGGTGAAATTGAATCGTCTCTGAGTTTGTGAGGCAGCAATGCTAAATACTGAGCCACTGTGCCGCAAGCATTCATTTATGAGCATTATGAATTTATTAAATTCATTAACAAAAGATATAGAATCAAATTTATACAATTTCACTCAGTTTTTTCACAATACAGAAAAGAAAACTACTTAGCAACAGAGTAGCCGTAAAAATCATCCTTTTCCTCGCGTTCAGAAGCAAACAACCCATCCCAATCTGCTTTTTGAAGGACATTACTGTATTGATCATCAAGCAATATTTACACCACCATCGTTCTGTTCTGAAGAAGGGTCACTGGACCCAAAACATTAATTGTGATTTCTCTCCACAGATGCTGCCAGACCTGCTGAGCTTTTCCGGCAATTTCTGTTTTTGCTTCTGATTTCCAGCATCCACAGTTCTTTCAGTTGTTTGTTTTACATCATTATCATTCAATTAAATGTTAATTGCATCAATATTCTCAGTGACAGATAGTACTTTCGGAAACAGATTCCAATTCAGGTGAGTGATGGATTCCTCCCTACCCCACCAGAAATTTTCCAAACGTACACAGCATCAGACAAGCCAAATAGGGCAGAACAAGCATAAGCCACTTTGGTAAAGCAAACAAGGGCAGGACTTATACAGTTAATGGTAGGGTCCTGGGTAGTGTTGTTGAACAGAGACACCGAGGGATTCAGGTACACAGTTCTTTGAAGGCTGTGTCACAGATAGACAATGACATCTGTGGACGAGAATCTAATTAAACTCATGAACAGCACAAGTTTCACCATGAATGTAAAAAGTGGATTCAGGCAACGGATGCTAGAATAGAGGTCGAAACATCAAACCAACCCATAGCAATCACCTTTGTAATAATACCCTTAGGAAATTAGTATATCAAACCTTTTGGAATCAGATCCTAAACTTCATATTTTCAATATCAAACGCACAAGAAATATGCAAGGCATCATATGTCACACGGATGATGTTATAATCCATGACAAAAGAGCACGTTGAGTCTTGAAAACATGACAAAAGCTGGGTAAACACGATGAAAAATGAGAATTTTCAAACGCCATAACAAAATTTTTGGTCCATAATGTCCAAATAACTGCAATCACAGTGGAAACACAGAACTTGAAAGTCACCAGAGAATTTCCACTCTCTACTATCACAGGTCTCTAATAGGTTAAGCCTATAGTGAAACAAGTAGGGAAAATTTCTAATCCACTTAGCCCAAGAAAAGAAACTTCTAAGATAACCTTTGAAACAAGACCAGGCATAGTGTTGGACTTAAAAATTACTTGAGCAAAACAATACTGATTATCTTCAGAGGATCTGACCCAATGATCCCAATCTTCTGACTATTCTAACAGTGACACATCTGAGTGCAATATTATACCAGATTCAGCTTGCTGGCATAAGAATATCTGTCTGTTAGACATCAGGGGTTCTAGCTGAAATCAAATTGATTTTTAGTTATTTATGGGATATGGGCATTACCAGAAAAGTGAGCATGTGTTGCATATCCCTAATTTTCCCTTGAACAGAATGACCAGTCTGCAACGTCAGAGGGCAGTGTTGAGTCAAATACATTGCCGTGGATCTGGAATCACATGTCGGCCAGATTAGGTGAGGATGGCAGATTTTCTTCTCTGAAAAGGCATTAGCGAACCAGATGGGTTCTTACAACAATCAATGACTGCTTAACAGTCACTATTACTGAGGCTAGCTTTGAATTCTAGAATTATCAACTGAATTTAAATTCCACCAGCTGTCATGGTGGGATTTAAACCCTTCCCCAGATCATTAGCCTGGGTTTCTGAGTTACTAGTCCAGTGTCATTTTCACCATGTTACCATCTTCCCTAAAATATTGAATCATACAGAAATAAGCATTGAAAGCAACTTGGCTGTGCAAGAAATTTTCTAGCTACTTGTTAGCCAGATAATACCACTTAAGACTGAAACTGACTACAAACAGTTGGTAACTTTATTGACTTTGGAAGAAATTGTAAGGACACCAGCCCAGATCCAAAGATTTCTATTGCAGGTGATGTGGTATGATAATACAACTGAATATGTGCAAGGAAAATATCAGACAACCTTTTTTTCTTTATTCATTCACGGGATGAGGGCGTGCTGGCTAGGCAGCATTTATTGCCCACCCCTAATTGCCCAGAGAGCAGTTAAGAGTCAACCACATTGCTGTGGGTCTGGAATCACATGCAGGCCAGACCAGGTAAAGATAGCCGTTTCCTTCCCTAAAGGACATTAGTGAACCAGATGGGTTTTTCTGACAATCATCAATAGATTTACAGTCATCGTTAGATTCTTAATTCCACATATTTATTGAATTCAAATTTCACCACCTGCTGTGGTGGGATTCAAATCCTGGTCCCCAGAATGTTATCTGGGTCTCTGGATTAACAGTCCAGCGATAATACTACTTGACCATCACCTCCCCACTGACGCTCTATCATGGATACCCGCTAGCTGCCCAAGATTAAAAAATAAGAATTTCCTTCAGGCAATCGTAGCCTTCAAGGCCTTAACCTCTCAATATTTGCCAGAAACGATGATAAAACAATTATAATTTTGAGGGAAACAACTGCATGATGAAAAATGGGTGTACGTTTGCATGTACTACTTTGATGGCTTGCTAGAGAATGACACCAGAAACCCTGTAATAGATCTTTGACCAACATTGCCTTATCAGCTCCACTGGTGTCCTCTTTGTCAATTACAAGCACTCCATGTGGACATGTTCCAGAAGATTCACTACCGACATCTTGGTATTTACAAGTATTCATCCAGGGGCAGCAATCCATACGGTAGTCAAGTATCTCAGGCTATCTTGAGGGCATATTTTCCAACAACTCCACCTGTGCCATTTACAGAGAGGAGGAGGATGGACCCTTCTGCCCTCCTCTGTTCAAACCAGGCCATGGAAACACTTTGGTATTGACCTAGTTGAATTTAGGGAAACAGTCTTTCTCATCTGCATATATTATTTCTCAATGGATAAGGTGACAAATCTACCATTGAGTTTTCTACTATTATCCACTGTAAGACTATGTTCACTGGCCAACAATGGGATATTGGGATTCCGACTATTGCATGACAAGATCAACTGAAGCAACAACCTTGTGAATAGGGCCTGGTCACCATGTACGCTTGGTATCAAGTTAAGGTGTATCAAAATGATTCTACAGGATGATTGCCACCCTGAGCGAATAATCCCTCATTGTGTATCAC